ACATATATTCAACCACTTGTAGATATGGACCTACCTTCTTCCTTCTTAATTACATATGAACAAACTTCGTATCGCATATTTTTAAGTTTAGATAAACCTTCATGTTTTATTTGTAAGCAAACAGATCACATTGCAGCAAATTGTACAAGTCATAATCCACAAAATGATCCCACTCTTATCCACCATCAACCACAACAACCAATACAACAACAACCACAAGAATCCTCACAGTATAACAAATCGCCCTTAGAAATAGAACCAGATCTTCCAGTCAGTAATTCTAATACCGAACCTACACCTAACCAAAAAACAGATACCAATTTAATACCTCCCGTACTTATGGAAACTACTGGTATATCTAAAGACCAGTCATCGACCAACAAAAGAACAATTTCGGAAATCAATACTACTCCATCTCCCACTGAAGAATTAAATAAAGAATTTAAAATCCCAAAACAAACCAAAAAGAAACAAAAAAAGCAACCTGAAGCTACCATATCAATTCAGGAAATGATGATGCCAACAAAAATAATATTTCATAATATGTCAAATAATTTTAACTTAACATATGAACAAACTCTTGACTTTTTTGAAAATTATTCTAGCTCGTCTGATCCCCTGAGCTTAATACAAACGTACACAACGGATATACCCAACTTTATGAATATGATAACAACAATTAAGCCATATTTTACAGAAAAAAGCATGAAAACCAAATGCACTAAAATAATAAACAAAATACAAAAAATGCTGAACTCAGACGATTCCGCAAATCAAGAAAGTGACACTACATCAAATTCAACTCAAGAAATAAACTAAAATCTTCGATCCGATTATTCAATGGAATGTTAACGGGTTCTATGCCCGTTTAGAAATGCTTAAACATTTATGTTCAATAATCTCGCCATCAATTATTTGTTTACAAGAAACAAACTTTAAAGGACAGCATAGTTATGACATGAGGAATTATTCTTGTTTCCATAAAAACCGAAACAACGCAAATATCGCTAGTGGAGGAGTTGTTACATATGTTAACCAAAAATATGAATCGGAAGCAATAGTAATTAATAGTAAATTAGAAGTAGTAGGAGTATCAGTGTCCTTTCCACAAAAAATAAATATCTGTAATTTATATATTCCACCTGACTTACCAATCACAGAAGCAGATATTTCAGATGTACTAGATCAGATTCCCACTCCCAGAATAATTGTTGGTGATTTTAATAGTCACAATCCAATATGGGGATCTCTTGGAATAAATTCCAAAGGTAAAATTGTAGAAAACATAATTACCTTAAAAAACCTAAACTTACTGAATGATGGACAATCAACACGATATAATATTCATACAGGTACCTCATCAGCTATCGACCTGTCATTATGTGATCCTGTACTGTCACCAAAGTTTTCATGGGATGTAATCCCGTTTTTATATGGAAGTGATCATTATCCTATTAAAATCTCTTTCAATAATAATTATGAAGATATTAATACAACTCCAATTCCAAAATGGAATCTAAAGAAAGCCAATTGGTATTTATTCAAAAAGTATATTCAACAGAACTGCCATACTTTAAAAGAAGTCACCGAAAACCGACATATAGATGAACTTCTAAATTCGTTTATATCACTAATTCATTCTGCTGGCGAAAGTCATATAGGTAAAACACAAACTCTACATAAAAGAAATTCATTACCATGGTGGAACGCACAGTGTACTGACATAATAAAAAAATATAAAAAATCCTTTAACAAATTAAAACGTCACAAAACACCTGAAAATACCATAGAATATAAGAAATTACGGGCTCAAGCTAGATATATAACTAAAAAGAACAGAAAAAAATCTTGGCAAGAATTTATGTCTTCTATTAATACCAATATGCCTATAAGCACGGTATGGGAGAATGTTAGAAAAATATCTGGAAGCAATACCTATAAAAGGATTCCATTCCTATGCAAAAATAAACAGATAGTAACATCTAATTACGACATAGCAGAATTAATAGCAAAACAATTTGAAATGAACTCCAGCAATAATAACTTTTCTAAAGATTTTATCAATACTAAGATGATTTCGGAAAATCAGTTAATAGATTTTGATTGCATTGAAGATAATCCCCTTAATATAACATTTACCATGGAAGAGCTTAATCACTCTTTAAATACCAGCAAAAAATCGGCGCCAGGACCAGACAATATTCCTGTCAGTTTCTTACAAAATCTACCAGATAATGGAAAAAAATATCTTCTTAACCTATACAACAGAATTTGGATCAATAATGAGTTTCCCACAACATGGACGCAGGCGATAATAATTCCATTACTAAAACCAAATAAATCACGAACTGATCCTGATTCCTATAGGCCAATTTCTCTTACCAATACAATGTGCAAAATCCTAGAAAAAATGGTGAATTATAGATTGAGGTGGTTTTTGGAAAATAATAAATTAATAATCAATGAACAAAGCGGCTTTCGCAAAAACAGATCAACCATAGATAATTTAATAGATCTAGAATCCGAAATACATGAATCATTTGCAATTGGACAGGAATGTCTTGCTGTCTTTTTTGATATAACAAAAGCGTTCGACATGGCTTGGAGATATGACATTCTTAACACACTGAGTCATTGGGGTGTCAAAGGTAACATGCTATATTTTATACATAATTTTCTCAATAAGAGACAATTTAAAGTTAAGGTAAATGGAACAGTATCCAGCACTAAAGACCAAGCAAATGGAACACCTCAAGGTTCTGTCATTAGCTCAACACTATTCTTAGTAGCGATAAACAAAATCTTAGAAAACTTTCCAAAACTTGTCAAGGCGAGACTATACGCTGATGACTTGGTTATATATTCAAGAGGAAAAAATATTCTTTCTATACAAAAAAATTTACAATGTGCATTAAATCACCTTGAAAACTGGTCGAATGCTGTGGGATTGCAATTCTCTACAACCAAAACCAAATGTATTTTATTTTCAAAAAAACAGCACTCTACAAATCCAGATCTTCAGTTATATAAAAACAACTTAACTTATGTGGAACACTTAAAGTTTTTAGGAATGATCTTTGATAAGAAACTATCTTGGAAATACCATATTATGCAAATTAAGCAATCTTGTCAATCTGGTCTCAATTTAATGCGAACACTGTGCAATCGTAATTGGGGTTCAGATTTTAAAAGCTTGATCCATATTTATAAATCACTAATACGATCAAAACTCGATTATGGATCAGTTGTATACTCATCTGCAAAGAAGACACTTCTTGTTCAACTAGAAGTCATACAAAATACAGCACTAAGAATAGCTACAGGAGCATTCTGTACTAGCCCCATTAAAAGTCTGCAATCTTTAACCGGGGAACCACCTTTAAACTACAGAAGAATGTACTTGTCATTAACATACGCATCTTCTATATGTGCGATAAAATCGCATCCAACTTTCCATCACACTATCGCTGAACGTTTCAAGGAAACTTATATAAATAAAAAAAGAACGAACCCTCCCTTTTATGAGAGAATCAGAAGATATCTCTCTATCCATAACATTCAATTCCCAATTTTTTTTGATCAAACAAATACATTCACACCTCCCCCTTGGACCTTTCCTCCTGCAATATGTGATCTAACTCTTTCTAAATACAATAAGCTTGAGATCCCCCATGCAACAATTATTCAATCATTTTACAACATACTTGCTTCTTTCCCAGATTATTGTCATATCTATACAGATTCATCCAAAACTATTGATGGTGTGGGATCAGCAGTCATAGCTCCGAACATTGTATTACAGTTTAAATTATCTTCCACTTGCAGCGTTTACTCTGGAGAACTATACTCAATTCTGCAAGCCCTCATTCATATACGTCTTCAAAATATTCCAAAATCTGTCATAATTACCGACTCTCTTAGTTCATTACATACGATAGAACAGTTATATACAAGTAATCCTATATGTATTTTAATAAAAGAACAATTACATTTACTAAACAACTCGGAGAAGCAAGTACGCTTTATATGGGTTCCATCACACATTGGACTTCCAGGAAACGAAAAAGCAGATTTCCATGCCAGAGAAGCAATACACAGTGCCTCTTCAGTGTTAGTGAACTTAGTGTCCGTTTCTGACTTCAAATTGTTCCTTAAAGAAAAAGTGACAAATGAATGGGAAAACGAATGGAATCTTTCACGATCAACACTACACATAATGAAGCGCTCAACCGAATCCTGGTGCGAGACAAACTTAAATCGCCAGCTGTTTGTTAAACTAACCCGTTTACGTATAGGTCATAGCAGACTAACTCACAGCTACCTAATCTCCAAATCAAATCGTCCTATTTGTGACTTATGTAACTGCGACATTAATGTAACACATATCTTAATAGAGTGTCCTAAATATATTAGTGAAAGACAAAAACACTCAATACCTAACAATATAAAGGCAGTCTTAGGAGTACATTGTAAATTTACAAATTTGTTTAACTACTTGAAGGATATTGATGTTTTAAAAAAACTGTAACTGTCAATTATTTGTAAACTCTATTTACAAATTGTAAAATGTGAACTTATCTAATTATTGTAAACCTACTAATTAACTAAAATACTGTTTAGATTTAAGCACCTATGTAACAACTATAGTACAGCTAATAACCCAAAGTGGTTGATGCTGTTATCAATAAAAAAAAAAAAAAAAAAATAATTTTTTCTGGATCAAAGATGGGATTTAATTAAACAAGCCTCGTTTTATGTAGTTTATTGAATTCTACAAACAAAATATCAATGCAATTATGTAAATTATAAAATTCTCACTCATTTCTCTTTTCTTTTTTGATTCTACGTCCCCATCTAATTTTTATACCTTTTTGGCTTCTACCTGACTAGCTTGATATTTACCAACAGTAGCCCGTTTTATTAATTTAAATAATTTTAATTTCGGCTTTCCGATCTGCACAGATGTTCACTTTTAATTATTTTATAAAAACTTTTTACAGTGTATGATGCTTCTGGAAGATACTCGGGCCAATTTTTCTTCGGAAACGACTATTGGCTGGGATCGATGACCCTGTGCGAGGAACTAACCAATAAGAAATGGAATGCAGCAGTACCACCATTTCCAGTTCAATTCTATATTGCAAAAGTGCGGATAAATTTGAACCATCAAGATACACCAGTAGTATGTACTATTTTTTATTTAAATGATATCTGTGTTAACAATAATTCATTTTTATATATCTACAATATTGAATTTAAGTTAATGGATAAAGATTATATGAAAAAGCTCATCAAAAGCATTAGTGTAATCAATTAAATAAATACATTTTAATGACATTAATTATTAAAAGTTTTGAGAAAGTTCTTCTTTGCCAATCTTTGATTTGTTTTTTATTATCTACTATTTTCTGCATTTATTTCTCCTATTTTCTTTCCTATACTATTGTCATTTTTCTTATGTACAATTATGATTACTAATATACATAAGCCCTGTGTCGGATGCGGGCCATTTAAGAAGAATACACCCACAGATTCTTCTACTTGTAAAAGGCGACTAGCCGTAGCAGCTGACTGCTGTCCTTACTCAAGAACGGTTGACTACATAGGATAGTTCCATCTCCCAAATTTGTCTGTCACTGCAACACTCGGCTGTGACGTAGGTGTGGGGATAACAAGCAATTATCGACCTTATTGTTACTATTAACTTTTATGTAAGATGAGCTTAATTTGAGATTAAAAAGTTTAAAACGAAAAATTTACCTGTTGTTTTTGTAAATAGATGGCAGATAATCAGATTTTTAACAGTACCTAAGACATTCAGACTTGTAGTCTTAATGATCTGTTTTACATGGCAAATAAAATTTATTTTCGAAATGAATGCATTTGAATGAAAAGTAAATATTTCCGATAAATAAAATATATAAATCCGTGTTTTACTTACGAAGTCAGAGCACAAATTAGTATCCAAAAACATTTGATGATCAATAAAACTATTCAATACTGAACCATTTATTTCATAAACATACATATAACAATACTAGGAGACTTTAGAAACATTCCCTACTGAACAATTTTATTGAATTTTCTAATTTTTGACCTAGTTGAATCCAACACGAATAAGTTTTTTTGCTTCAAATTTTCAGCTTCCTTGAATTTTAAATGTCTATAATTTATTCAAAGATAAAAGACGACCGTGGAACATTGTGTTCGCATAAGGAAGAGATCGTTAGAGAAATCCGAAAATTTTATGAGAAGCTGTATACTTCTACTATTCCGAACCCCGGTATACTAACAAAACATATCTTAAATGTGGGCTCAGAGGACTTCCCTGAAATAATAACATCAGAAATTAGAGCCGCCCTAAAACAAATGAAAAATGGGAAAACACCAGGAGAAGATAAAATTACTTCAGAGATGCTAAAAATGGGAGGCACTGCATTAGAAGAGGCAATAAGAGCATTACTTAATAAATGCCTATTGGAAGGACAAATACCGAAGACATGGAAAAATGCGGAAGTCATTCTACTCCATAAAAAGGGGACGCCGCAAATATAGAAAACTACCGACCAATAAGCTTATTGTCACACCTTTACAAACTACTAACCCGAATAATAACAAATAGATTGACAGCTAAACTAGATGCATACCAACCAGTGGAGCAAGCAGGCTTTCGTAAGGGTTTTAGCACTATCGATCACTTGCAAACAATTCGGACCATTATTGAAAAAACAATAGAGTACAACATACCACTACATCTGGCATTTGTCGATTATCACAAAGCATTCGACAGTATCGAGAAATGGGCTTTCTTAACAGCATTGGACGACGCCAGAGTAGATTCAAGATATGCTGCCCTCCTTAAGAATATATACGATGATGCTACTTTTCACGTAAAAATAGATGATGATCTGGAAACTATGAAAATAGACCTTGGCAAAGGTGTGAGACAGGGCGACACCATCTCACCCAAGTTATTTACTTTGGCATTAGAAAATGTTTTCAAACAACTAAATTGGGCCGAAAATGGATTAAAAATAGATGGAGAACATGAACTAAAATCAATGCTACAAGATTTAAATCACAAATCGAATCAAATAGGATTAAAAATGAATCTCGACAAAACAAAGATATTAAGCAACAGCCTAGAAAACATCACGATAGATAACATCAATATAGAAAAGGTAGAACAATATATATATCTAGGACATGCAATTAAAAACGAAAAGGAAAATCAAACCCTAGAAATTAAAAGAAGGACACAATTATCATGGGCTGCTTTTGGTAAGTTGAGCTTCATTTTAAAAGACAGAAAAATCCCAATTCACTTAAAACGAAAAACCTATGACACTTGTATACTACCAGTTGCAACTTATGGATTGGAAACTATGGCAATAACAAGAAAAATGGCAGAACAATTAAGAGTAACTCAACGGGCCATGGAGAGGGCCATGTTAAATATAAGCCTCAGAGACAAAATTCCTAACACCGAAATACGTCGAAGAACTAAAGTAACCGACATCATGGGAAAAATAGCGACATTGAGATGGCAATGGGTAGCACATGTAGCAAGACAAGACACCAACAGATGGTCTCATAAAGTGACATTCTGGAGACCTCGAGAAACAAAAAGAAGCGTGGGAAGACCTAAAAAGAGATGGATAGACGATATAACTGCTGTAGCTGGAAAGCAGTGGATGAGAATTGCAAAAGATAGGGAAGCGTGGAAGCAATTGGAGGAGGCCTATGTCCAACATTGGATAAATGAAGGCTGAAGAAGAAGAAGAAGATAATTTATTCTAGTTATTGTTCTAAGTTTACAAAAGTTTTTAGTAAGCGCATATGGCAAAACTTTTTCTTTTTTTAAAATCCTTTTTGAAATGTTTCCAACAACTCCATTATTTTTCCGATAGGTATATTTTTCGTAATATTGATTCCATAATTTTATTTTTATGAACCACTCATCTGTAGGCTTGATAAGACCTCCATAAGAGAGTTGCTGCACCCATGATGGTAAACTATAACTATGTTCACTAACTTTGTATGTGAAATTACCTAAATCAGGTAAACTATCTTTAAATTTGTTTGATAAATACCCAGCGATATTTATTCTAAGGCATCTTCTGTAGTTTTCTGCAAATCACTGACAACGCAATATGAGGTCGCAGACTGATTGTGCAATTTGGTTTGTGGTTAACACTTTATTTAACAAAATTTCAGCAAAAATTTCAGATTTTTTCTAAACATTCATATTTTTTTGCTTTAGAATACCTCAACTGACTTGTTAAAGTTTGTATTTTCATTTGCCTCTTTTTCTTCAAATTGGAATGATCAGCTCTTAATTTTTCATACTTGTTTAATAATTCGTTGTATTTTGCTTCAAAATCTACTTCAGGCTTTAAATCTATATTTTCACCAGCTTGTTCAAAAATTATTTTAGATTCAATAGTATGTTCATGTTGATTGGATGCAATATTCAAAATATTTTAATCAACTTTTGTAATTTCTGCTACAAGTTGCTTTCTGTTTATAACATCTAATCTACAGTTTTTTTTAAAAGGCGTTTACTAGGTAAACCTAAAATAAGTTAAGTTAAAAAATTTTTATAGGCATTTTATTGCTTTATTATTTTACCTAATAATTAATTTTGAAGATCTCTTTCATAGTCATTGTTTGTAAAATGAACAGAGCATATTCTACTAGAATCAGGATTAAAATTATCAGCTCTTCTGCATCGGTTAACCATTAGCCCTTATAGTTTCGACACTGAATCCTTTCCTTTTGGAAAATTGTGAAAAATAATAGGCATATTCTTGGTTTTACACTCTTAAAATTATTGTCACAACCATATGGCATATCTATTACCACCCATTTTGTTTATAGAAGTAAATTGATATAGAAACAATAATTAAATAGTCTTATAAGGCCTTTAAATCGCTAGTACAACAAAAAAATTGGCAGCAGGGACAACTATTCTATATAAAACAATAAGAAATGTCAACCACGAATCCACACGCCTACGTCACACTCAACACAACGCATTTCTTACATTAAAGCATAGGACAAAATTAATCCTATTTGTGTTTAGTGTCCTTGGTCCTTACCAACATTCCGTCATAAACTTACCCAATCATCTATTCTACAACTCATCTCACCCACACCGCACCTTTTGTCCCGGGGTTAAGAAAAGCTCCGAATTCGGATGAAGTAAAGATTTGGCCTACGGCAAAATAATGAGGAAGCATAAGTATAGCAAACACCCCATTAAAGAACCACAGTGATAGGCCATAGTCAATCAATAATGCCAATGATCAATGCCAAAATCAATTATGGAGAAAGTCCTCCGATCGGATCTCCGGAGACCAACTTTAGTTCACCAAAAGATAATAAATTAAACTGCAGAAAGAATACCAAGATCTGCACATGGCATGTCAAAACCTTATAGAAAGTAGGAAAATCTATAATGCAATACAGGAAATAAAGTGATGGATCATATGAATATGGAGTTGTAGTAATCGTATCAACCAAGGTTGCCAAATGCGTTACTAACTTTGCACCAATATCATAGAGACTGATGTTACTACAAGTACAAGTTAACAAATCAATATAAACATCATTTAAGTTTATGACCCTTACTGCAGACATATATGAGAAAGAGACAATGGAGTTTTATCATAAAATCAATACAATCATATAAAAAATTCCATGGCAAGAAATTTTCATCATTATTAGCGATTTTAATGCCAAGTTTAGAGCTGAAGATAAGACACAGTATATTGGACTTAAAGTCAGAAACGAGATAGGAGACATAATAGAAAAATTCACAGAAGACTCAATATTAGTTTTCACTAGCACATTCCTTCATTTACCACTTCGAAAGCTGTATACGTGGAAATACCCTCAAGAAAGACTGAAGAATCAAAAGAAATTAACTAGATTACATTTTAGTAAATAGAAAATTCCGAAATAGCTTCAAATCTATCGAGATTTATTGGGGAGCAGACTTGAGACATCCGTTACGCTGATGTGAATATTCTAGTGGGAGACTGCTTTGAGTCAAACTCAAGAAAACGAAGAAAAGATGTCACAATCATACGATAAACGTATGTTAAAAGACCTTAATACAAAAATGGAATACACAATCCATGAACTTTCTGTCGAATGACAAGATCCTCTATAGAAACATCGGTGCAAGCCATATGTAACTCTAGTCTGCTTTGTTTGAAGTACTTCGAACAAATTAGCATCGAAGGAACGGTTAAGTTTTAGTTTTCGGATTAAACAATCCATCATCAGTGCAAACGGTTGTACATGCTAGTAGCCACCAAAATATATGGGTAAAAACCCTTTAAAAGTTATAAATTTGAAATTGTTTTACATTATTAGTGTTTCTAATTTGTGATGGTTAAGTTACCGTTGGATAGGTAACATGGCGGCGTATGACTCTACATGAGTAAATATTTTGGTGGCTACTAGCATGTACAACCGTTTGCACTGATGATGGATTGTTTAATCCGAAAACGTTTTGCAATGTGTTTGTGATAGCCCGTTTGAGGCAATTTTATATACCTTTTATAAAGGATTTTAACAAATTTTTTTGTGATATATGGTATACAGCCAGCTACAGGAACTTAATTAAAGGTAATTAGTAGTTTGTTTTATATAAATTAATTGTGAAATGGTACTTACAGTAATTATACCTTTATTTTCACCCATCGGAACTGCATCTTTTAGACAACATTTTTAAAAACACTTTTTGATATTTAACTGTTATGCAAATCTTCTTTATGAAATTCTTACTTTTCACAGAGTTATTTTGAAAATAAGGCAGAGTACAAAATTATACCCATGCCATTAACCTACTAGCAGCTTTGATTGAAAACACCTTTTCCTCATCGTACCTTCAGTTTCTAGGTCTTTAACCTCATGGCAACGTCCATCATAGCAATATTAATTTAATTTTTCTTTTAGACCAGGCAGCTAAATATTGGAGAATGTCTCCCCAAATCCTGTGGAACAAAAGAGGTGCGGTCTCTACTTACGTTAGAACAAAATGGGGCAACTTCCATGACTATAGCGGGTATACGTAAAGTACCTGGTGACTATTCATTGCTCTCAGATATCAAGGTTCATCTACTTGGGTAAGTAAAAGAGATATTCTCCTTATATTACGCACATTATAAATTGTTGTTTAGAGGTAGGTTATTTTCCGGACATTTGGAAATATGCATTGGTAAAACCACTGCCCAAATCAAATAAACCTGAATCACTAAATGATCTTCGCCCAATAAGCATTCTACTGGGACTGTCAAAAATTTTAGAAAAGGTTATTTATAAACAGATATACGATTATATTTTTAGAAATAATGTAGTTACGTATATACAATCAGGCTTTAGAAAAGAGTTTAGTACAACGACCCTGCTTCTTGACTTAACAGATAATATTCTTCGATCATTTGATGAAGGAAAAGCAACCTCAGTCATCTTGCTTGATTTTTCTAAAGCCTTCGACACTATTGATCACGCTCTTCTTTGTGCTAAATTGAAATATTTTGGATTTGATGATACCTCCTTACAGTTTTTCAAATTTTATTTGGTAAATCGTTATCAAAAGGTCATAATCGATAATAATTCATCAGAATTTACATCTGTCACTTCAGGGGTGCCTCAAGGATCGATTCTTGGTCCTCTTCTTTTTTCAATATATATTTCCGACCTGTATAACTCTTTAAATAATTTGAAATTGCACTCTTTTGCAGACGACACAACTGCAAAATTGAAGAGAACTGTATTTCTCTTTTGAACCTAACTCTGTAAATCAAGCGTCACAAAAAATAAATCAAGATTTGGAATCTATTTGTACTTATTCCACTAGACATAATCTTAAACTAAATGCTAAAAAATGTAATTCTTAAACTCATCAAAGGCAACAATTTAATAAAGATCGTGGAACTATTTAACAGCATTTACAAATCTGGTATCATACCTAATGAATGGCTAGTAACAACAATAATAGCCATACCCAAAAAGTCTAATGCGAGACAATGCTCGGAATATCGCACCATCAGTCTCATGTGTCATATATTAAAGGTCTTCTTAAAAATCATTCATCGGAGAATATATAAAAAATTGGAACTTGACATCGGACCCTCCCAATTTGGCTTTAGAGACGGACTAGGAACTAGAGAGGCACTGTTTGCTTTTAATGTTCTAACACAACGATGCTTAGACGTAAATCAGGACATATTTGTGTGTTTCCTAGACTATAACAAAGCATTTGATACAGTAAAACATAGGCCACTGATGCAAATACTGGAAAATAAAAATATTGATACAAGGGACATGCGAGTGATAAGGAATCTATACTACAAACAAGAAGCTACAGTACGAATTAACAGCTCGATATCAGATAGAATACAGATCAAAAGAGGTGTTCGGCAGGGCTGTGTGTTGTCTCCAACCTTGTTCAATATCTACGCGGAAGAAGTTATTAAAAAAGCTCTTATGAACGAAAAAGCCGGAATAAAGATCAACGGTCACCCCATTTGCAATATCCGATATGCTGATGATACCGCGCTCATAGCAGAAAATATTGACGACCTACAGAGATTACTAAACAAAGTGGTAGAAGCAAGTGAAGAATTTGGTCTGTCACTGAATACAAAGAAGACCAAATTCATGATAATTACAAAGAAACGTATCAATAATATCAACTTACATGTAGGACAGAATCTCATTGAACGAGTACAAAATTACAATTACCTCGGAACAAATATTAACGAGTCAAACGAATACACCAGAGAAATAAGAATAAGAATAGAGAAAGCCCGCAGTGCATTTAACAATATGAAACAAATGTTGTGTAGCCGTAACCTAAGCCTAAAGCTGAAAATACGAATGCTTAAATGTTATGTTTTCTCGGTCCTGTTATATGGGGTGGAGGCGTGGACACTAAATAAGCAATGTATGGGTAAGCTGGAGGCATTTGAGATGTGGGCGTACCGAAGAATGTTAAAAATCTCCTGGAAGGATAAGATAACTAACCAAGTTGTATTAGACAGGATGAACAAACAAAAGGAGGTCGTATTGAGTGTTAAAATGAGGAAACTACAGTACCTGGGACATATTACACGTGGGAATAAATATCAACTGTTGCAACTAATTATGCAAGGAAAGATTGAAGGTAGGCGCAGCATAGGTAGGAGAAGAATGTCATGGTTGAGAAACCTCAGGGAGTGGTTTGCTTGCACTTCCATACAATTGTTCCGAGCGGCAGCCTCCAGGGTCAAAATTGCCATGATGATAGCCAACCTTCGTAGCGGAGATGGCACGTGAAGAAGAGAAGAAGTAATTCTTTGTTATATTGTTCAAAAAATTATGAAGCCACTGTTCAGGATAACTTAAAACTAATCATAAAAAATGAACCTCTAAAAAATGTTAACAGTTGCAAGAACTTAGGAGTCATATATAACTGTACGCTACGATTTCAAGAGCATGTCACCCTTTTAGTAAAAAAGTGCTATTTAGTTATGCGTCAACTGTATAGAAGTAAAGGCATTTTAAACTTTAAATTGCGTAAGTTACTTTGTGAAACTATGGTAATGTCCATTCTTAATTATGGGCTCTTGATATTTTATCCTTGCTTAGATCAAGTTACGAAATTAAGGTTGCAAAAAATTCAAAATAATTGTTGCAGATTTGTCTTTGGCATAAGAAAATATGATCGTGTATCATGCAAAATAAGCCTCACTGCTATATCGAATTATTTCTTCGTCAAATCCTATTTATTTAAGGAACAAATTAGTATTTCGTGAAGATGCTTTTATATCATATCATATATCACACATCAAAATTATTTTTATTTAATTATTTTTTAAATGACTTTTTTTTTAATTATTTTTTTTATATATTATTTTTCTAGTAACCACATGACTATTTTTTCACTTTCAACTTTTTTCATTTTCAAATTATTTTAAACTAATTTTGTAAACTTGAGTTTAAGTGGAGTAGCTCTAGCTAGACTTCGCCTCATGTACCTAGTGTTTTTAAAATTTTACAGACTAAATAAAGGCCATTTATTATTATTATTATTGGACCAAGGTCTTGTATCTTTACATAGAAATCTGAAGAGTATTAATTTTGCAAGACGTAAACTAGATTTAACTATGAATGTTTGTAATAATTTGTCCAATAAGTATGTTTTGGTCTACTAAATGTACCCTTCTTTTGTAGAGGAACATGTCTAGCTTTATTCTTCATAATATTAACAGCTTCAGTGGTAGATTATTCCAAAATATCAAGCGACCAAAGGCTAAGATCGAAGAAACTCCATCCAGACAACAATAACATTGTCAATTATAACCATGGAGATATACGAAACGGAGCTATAGATCTAAACATTGAAGCAAAAAAGGAAGATACAAAAAAGACGGGTAAGATTATAAATTTCAAGATATAAGTGTTTAGTATTATTGTTTTTCCAGGTCTGCTATTGAAACTTCTTCTATCCTTTTCGTCTGTCACAAATGGGAGAAAAATTTTGTCGGTACAACACATTTCTCTGGAATCTATCAAATGCATTCATGGTTTACGATTTTTCTCGATATCCTGGATAATATTGGTTCACAGCTACTTAGAACTGTTTGCAGTAAGTGACAACAAGAATTTAAGAACTCTTACAGAGAGAAGGTTTCTGTATCAGACCATTTCTAACGCTACCTTTTCTGTCGACACTTTTTTCTTCATAAGGTAATTATGAATGCAGACGAGTAGTATTTTATCTCCTATTTAAATTTATCTAGTTGTTCTTATTGTATTTACATCTAATTTCCTTTTAGTGGTCTCCTAGTAACACTAACTTATTTTCGTACCGCAGTAAAGAAAGACAGCCTGCCAGAACCACAGAAACCTGTTCGACACCTCATCGGCAGATTTTTTTTGATGATTATCTACAGAATAATAAGACTAACACCAGCATATGCATTTATTTTGGTTCTAAACGAAATAGTGATGAGATATTTGCACTCAAATTCCGTTTTCTCTCCAGCCATCATCGACCACATCAGCTGCGATCGCTATTGGTGGCGCAACCTACTTTATATCAATAATTTTTTTCCTCAGAATGAGTTTTGCATGCTCTGGTCTTGGTATATGGCTAATGATACGCAGTTTTACATAATTGCTTGTGTATTATTGTTGATAGCAGTACGGTAAGTACATTATTGTATACTTATATTTTAAAAAATATAGGGGAGAGGCTTGTACCTTGGACCAGCTTGTACCATGAGCCACCCCATTTTTTTTTAATTTGGCGCGCGAGCTCTCTCTGTTTCTTATGTCAAGCTCTTCTACAATCGTCGTCATTCTGTGGTTAGTTGTTGAACGTCACCAGAAATTATTTCCTGCTGTCTTAAAAATATAGTGATTTATTTTGTGAAAAGTAAGTATTTATAGGATAGATAATTTTAATTTTTGTGTTAACAGATATGGTAAATTAAATCACAGGGTATGTATGCTTTTCTAACAGGTACTTAAACAACATAGTGAGAAATATAACAAAACAGTTTTTTTAGGTTAAATTCATATTCGTTTTCTTTTCAGCCGAGTCTTGTACCTTGGACCACTATCACGTCTTGTACGTTGGGCCGCTTCGCAACTTGTAGGTTTATAAATAAAAAGAGGTAAAAATAGTTCTTTTTTCTTTACAGATGCCTAGAAGCAAAATCTTCTAAAGCTCTGGAGGGATTAGGAAATGCCGAAAAGTCTTAATCCCAATGAAAGAAAAATCCAAATCTGCAACCGGATGTAGAAGGCAACGAGAAACCACTACATTAAAGATCTTTAAATATATATCTCTTGTCAATTATCATGGCTATTATAAATGACAATTTCACAACTACTGATTGTGGACATCGGATACCAAGATCCGGCAGGGGAGGCAATTCTCAGTTAGACCGCGGGGCCTCCCAGGTCGCCAACATGCGAAAACCCCGCGTCAGGCACAAAAATATAAACGGACTGCAGATAGGTACCTGGAATGTGAAGTCTATATATGAAGCAGGGAAGATCCACAATGTAATACATGAGATGAGGCGACTTAAAGTTAATATAATGGGACTAAGAGACGTGGCCTAGATCTGGCGAAATCGAAGTCGACGGTGCCAAAATATACTACTCATGAAATAAAGATATTCACCACTATAATGGCGTCACTATAGTGGTTGATCGCAGTTTTTGTCAAGCTGTAACTTGTTTTGTTCCTATATTGGATAGAGTGTTAATGATCACAGCCCAAACAGCGCATAGAACTCTTAATATCATACAGGTGTACGCCCCTACTGCAGATAAAGATGAAAATGAAATAGAAGAGTTCTACAATGATATTTAAAAAGCACTAGAAAGCACCAATAATAGAGATATAATAATAACAATGGGGGATTTTAATGCCAAATTAGGAAAAGGTAAATTCCAAGACATCATTGGTGAATTCGGGCTAGGAATAAGGAATGAAAGTGGGGAAAGACTGACGGAATTCTGTCAGGAGTTTGAAATGATAGCGACAAATACATTTTTTCAGTTACCACCACGTAGATTATATACATGGAAATCACCTAAGGATAGCAAAGAAAAAATTATCAGAAACCAGATAGATTATATCCTTATCAATAAGAGATACCGTAACTCCATCAAATCGGCAAAGACATATCCAGGAACAGATGTGTCATCAGACCACAATCCAGTAATCGTAAAATTCGAAATCCACTTAAAGAAAATAAAAAAACAACAAAAGACACAACAAATAAGCACTCTGCTAAAACACCCGAACATAAAAGGAGAACTAACGTTGAAAATTAACGAGGAGTTAAGCAAGACAATAATCAATGATAATGAAGATTCCAACGAAAAATGGGAAAAATTTAAGAACACATTAATGATGACAATTAAAGATACGCTAAGTAGTCACAAAATCGATGAAACTAAGACTCCATGGATGATGACAGATGAGATCCGGCAACTAATGGACAAAGAAGATCACACAAAAACAAAAATGTAAACGAATACAAAGCCACACACAAGGAGATCATGATAAAAATACGGGCAGCTAAAGAGAAGTGGTACAACGACAAATGTTTAGAGATAGAAGAACTCCAGAGAAATCATGATAGTTTTGAAGTGCACAAAAAATTAAAGAATTAGCAGGTGTAAGACGGTCCAACAATAGTAACACCCTGGTTGATACGAATGGTAAAATAATATCTGATGTCAAAGGCAAACTAAACAGATGGAGAGAATACGTTCAAAAATTGTTTGAGGATGACAGGACACAAGATAACATGAACGATTGCGAGGAACATGATATAGGTCCAAATATAACTAAGGATGAAATAATACATGCAATAAATCTGGCAAAATCTAATAAAACTGCGGGGCCTGACACAATTTCAACTGAAATAATTAAATTAATATCAGAAGATCAGATCAATGTATTAGTAGACTTATATAATACTATATATAATACGGTATTATTCCGAGAGATTAACTCAAATCAACATTTATTACATTACCAAAAAACCTAATGCAAGGGAATGTAATGACCACCGTATACTTAGTCTAATGAGTCACACACTAAAAATATTCTTAAAAATGATCCATTTAAGAATTTTCAGAAAAGTGGAACAAGACATCACTGAAACCCAATTTGGATTTAGGAATGCCATGGGTACACGAGATGCATTATTTGGATTTAACCTCCTCATGCAAAGATGTATGAATGTAAACCAACCACTCTATGTTTGTTTTATTGATTACAATAAGGCGTTCGATAAGGTCCGACACAACCGTATTATACAGTTACTTAAAGATAAACACATTGACAAAAAAGACTTAAGAATAATAACTCATCTCTACTTTAACCAAACAGCAAAAGTCAGAGTCGGCAAAGAATTTTCGGAGGAAGTAGAGATAAAAAGAGGCGTAAGGCAAGGTTACATACTCTCCCCCTTATTGTTCAATCTATATTCGGAAGAAATAATTAAAAAATCACTCGAAAATGTAACAATTGCGAAAACGGTCGAAATCGAAAATAAAAGTCAACGGCAGACCCATCAACAATATCAGATATACCGATGATACTATACTAATTGCAGAGAATATACAAGATCTACAGACACTTTTGGATAATGTAGTAAATGCTAGTGAGGAAAGCGGACTAACGCTTAATGCTAATAAAACAAAATTTATGACAATTTCCTAAACACAACAAGACATTTTAAACATAAGAGACGTTCCAATAGAAAAAGTAAAAAAATACAGATATCTTGGTACAATTATTAATGAAAATAACGAGTATACAGAAAAAATAAAAAAGAGAATTGGACAAGCTAGAGCAACATTTAATAAGATGAGAAAAGTATTATGCAGTAGGGACCTTAGTTTGCAACTCAAAATAAGAATATTACGTTCTTATGTGTTTTCGGTGCTGCTGTATGGGGTGGACGCCTGGACCTTAAAGAAAGAGGTGAGCGATCGACTTGAAGCATTCGAGATGTGGACCTACCGAAGAATATTAAAAATAAGTTGGGTAGACCGAATAACAAATGTTGAGGTCCTCAGAAAGATGACAAAGGAAATGAAAATCATGAATACGATTAAGATAAGATAGTTACAGTATCTCGGCCACGTTATGAGAGGGGATAAATATGTGTTGCTACAAACCATAATGCAGGGAAAAATACAGGGAAAACGAAGTATTAGAAGAAGACGTATCTCCTGGCTCAATAATCTGAGAAAGTGGTATAATTTCAGTTCCGTCAACTTGTTCAGAGCTGCAATCTCAAAAGTGAAAATAGCTGTGATGATTACCAACCTCCTTAGAGAAGATGGTATCAAAGGAGAAGAAGAAGCAAAACCGGCGTAAAAAAACTCCGACAGATTATGAAAACCTATTAAAAGCATACAATGCAATTCAAGACAAGCAAATATTGGTCCGATTAGCTGCCAAGGAATTCCATGTGTCACGAACGACACTTCAAAGATTTTTGGTCCGTGGTCCCAACAATATGCTCTCTTATGGTGCTTGCGCAGTCCGAAAAGTATTTTCTACTGATGAAGAGAATGACTTATGTTAGTATTTAACTCTAGCGAGTCATATGGATTATGGACTTTCACGTCGCTCTTTGCAAACTTTAGCATTTGAATACGCTAAAGCCAACAATAAGCCAGTCCCACTGTCCTGGAATAATAATTATCGTGTTGGAAAACAGTAGTTCCTTGACTTAATGAGTTGCCATAAGCAACTTAGTTTAAGAAAGCCACAAGCCACTAGCCTATCTCGCGGATCCAGCTTCAACAAACACAATGTCTCATTATTTTTTTCAAAATTAAAAGAAGTCATGAATAAGCATACTTTCACAGCCAGTAAAATATACAATATCGATGAGAGTGATAACACTAATGTTCACGTTCCTGGAAAAATTGTAGCTTGCAAGGGTATTAAACAAGTTGGATCCTCTACAAGTGGAGAAAGGGGTACTAATGTAACATTTATCGCTGCTATAAGTGCTTCAGGGAATACTGTCCCCCTATGTACATATTTCCCAGAGTGAAGTGAAGCCCTATATGCTGAAAGGGCATCTGCTGATTCGATGGGAACGGCTCATCCTAGTGGTTGGTCTACGAAGCCTTCCTTCGATGATAAAATATTAGTAATATTAGACAATCATGAAAGTCATATTACCCCCGAAATCATCAACTTAGCTAAAGAACATGGGATCGTAATATTGACTATTCCACCTCATACGAGCCATAAGCTCCAACCCCTCGATCGCAGTGTTTTTAGCCCATATAAAACTTATTATAACAACGCGTGCACCGAATGGATGATAAGAAACCCAGGAAAACCAATATCTATTTACGATGTCGCTGAAATTTCTGGTCAGGCATATAAACTAGCATTTAATCGCACAAATATTGAATCTGGATTCAGAGTTTCAGGGATCTGGCCAGTGAATGAAAATGTATTTCAAGAACACGAGTTCTATAGTTCTTCGGTCAGTGATAGAGATAATCCTGATAATATCAATGAAGACATTTATTTCAGACCCCTATTAATAATCATAAAATAACTGCTGAGACTAAAGAACTGAGCTACCATACAAGTCACCAGAGGTAGTCCGCCCTTTACCTAAGGCACCTCCAAGAACAAACATAC